TGTCGCAAGCAATGGCACTCATGCATCTAGTCATTATTCTTGTAACATCGGTCTATATTAATTCGCTATCTTCCACTTGAATCTGCTCTCAACATTTTAATCATCATCCTGCTGTTTTATCCAAACGGGCAACCAAGACCGGCTCACGAAAGTGCACGGTTAATGATTGTAAGAACTGATCTGAACAACAAACACCCTAGGCCACTCCGGCGCCGATGAAGCTCCATCCGGCCGTGGGTTTTACAGCCAACTAGCCTTTTTGTACTTTTAAATAATCGGAGGTCATTCATGTTTCATTTCCTTACTCAAATCTGTAGTTTGACTGGTTTTAAGATGAAGCGTTTTTATTGCAGTTTACGGTTTCTAATGTCATTTATGGTTTAGTTCTACTTATTTTGTTCCAAAGGCATTTAACCATAAGTCAAAGGATGCCAAATCGGTTGCTGAAGCTTGAACAGCGGTTTTCGAACTGGTGAAAGCTGATCTCTACAAAAACACCTATTGCATAAGACTAGTGAAAGATTTGTGTCAATTTCATTGTGTAATGTGAAGCGTAAACGGAAAAGTTAGGAAGCACACTGTACTACTGATTCAACCTTGTTGGGCCTTATCAGCTATGCGAATACACTGACCCATCTGGAGATCGGGGACTTCACGAGTAGAGCACCAGCGTACTACCTACTCGGCCACTTCCCAGCTGATCAGACCGTTTTTCTTAATTTTCCATTTATACGTTTCATTTGCTCCATACACGACTAATTCCTCCTATGGAATTGAATCAAATCCTCCACTACTCTCCTGTAACGAGTAGTTAGATTGGAATGTTTCCGGCCGAGTCATAACCCCGTAGACGAGTGCTGGGATATGCGAGGCGCGATACTCGCAAAAAGCTCGAAAAGATGGGTTGTGCCAAAGCTTGTGTAAAGAAAATGGATAAAACGGTCTAATTAGTTGCCCCGGAGGTGGCCGAGTGGGTAGTACGCTTGCATTCTATCTGTGATGGGGTCCCGGGTTCGCAATCCTCAGTCAAAAAGGTCGATGGATTCGCTTACTGGTGAGATGAGACCCAACTAGGTTGAAACAGCTATCCAACTTTGCTTCCTAGCTTTTCTGCTCACGTCTCATTTACACGGTGAGTTCATCATATCAAACACAGTTTGTATATAGCTGTCTGTCTTGTAGCAACCGCTTATCTTTTGCATCTTAATGGGTCATTGACTCCAAGTAGTTCATCATCATCATCACCTATTCAGTTGAAAGTGAGCTTCTCTAAACAGAGAGGCTGAGACTAACCGAGTGACAGGTTAGTTCAACAGTAGATCACGTTTGTTGCTATGTTAACGAGATATGACGTATACATTGCATAATTAACCTTCATTCGTGTGTGCTTCATTCCCACCATATGGCTATCGTTGAATAGCTGGTTGAAAAACAAAACAATCAATCCTGCTCGGTATCTTGCGGGTACGATCACGTAGAAAATATTTTGATGATGACTTAGCATCTCAGTACTGGCCACTGGTTTGACCTGTTAATCAGCATCGGGATTCGTAGCAATGCTAATGTAGTTAACAACTCGGTCATTTTGTCCAACCGCCGGCAGACGTCCATCTTTTGTTTATTTTGGGTGGGGGAACAATGCCGATTGATGGGTGTGACGTTAAATTGACTATTTTCCAATTCTTGGTGAATCAAGCAGATTGTTTTTAAGTATCATGTACATGCTTCGGTGACCTACGCATCGCTTTGTATCCATTGGGTACATACATACCCCTTGTACCTGATTAATCGGGCTTCTTCGTGAATCATGGAACCAGTGTTGCTCTTCAATCCAAAACTTTGACACTTGAAGAGTAATTACCCATTTGGAAAACTCCTTTTTTCATAACTCATGGACTGAGCAGCATCGTAATGTCCAAAAGGGGCTGCGTTATTTCTATCTGGAAAAAACTCCTGTAATAGATAGATACATCTTTTTCCACATGTGATATCTGGTTTATGGATGAAACCTCTTGTCATACATAATATACGTCCGTGGTAAGTCTGACGCTCGGAAGGCTAATGATGCATAGGAAATCTCTCCGACAAGTCCTCCTGTGGACCACTCCGTTAGCCCTCATTCAGTAGTCATTTGTACTCTAACCTATCGTTGGTGCCACATCTCAACCCAGTCACCGGTGTCATTGAACGCTTTGTCCGTGATATTGATAAAACTCAAGTGTATTGAGGAGAAACATTGATAGGCCATGATCACGTTCTGGTCTGTTGCGTAACGTGGTTTCCTGTTTGCT